ACAGTTCATTAAAAAGAGTCCAAATAATATCCTTCAGTTATAGCAGCAAAACTAAACTGTTTTGATTTGAACATTGTCAGAGAAGAAGCCTGTCTCACATTTTCAGGAAGACTTTTCCAGATTATATCTGCATAAATCCGAAAAGCTGCATCCTCATGTTCAATCCTGACTCTGGGACCAGCAGGAGGGCAGTCCCTGTGCTCCTCAGAGTCCCAGCAGGAGGGCAGTCCCTGTGCTCCTCAGAGTCCCAGCAGGAGGGCAGTCCCTGTGCTCCTCAGAGTCCCAGCAGGAGGGCAGTCCCTGTGCTCCTCAGAGTCCCAGCAGGAGGGCAGTCCCTGTGCTCCTCAGAGTCCCAGCAGGAGGCCAGTCCCTGTGCTCCTCAGAGTCCCAGTTTGTTCATATGGCACTATCTATTACCTAAAAACATGAACAGCCGCCTCTTCTGTCCATGTTCTGTGTGGGTGTTTCCCACGCCTCTCGGGGCCTGGACGTCCTGACAGCGTCCAGCTCTGACCCTGAACCTGGACCGAGCAAAGACGTTCTGCAGCCGGAGCTCAGGGACAGGAGCAGGAGACACGCTCCATTAGACTCTGCAGAGGATGGAAACGTTTCTCTGTCCAGACACACGGCCGTCTGAAAGTTCTGCAGGTGCTTTCACCGACAAACACTAACAGAATACTACAGTTTCATCCTCAAAAGAGAGCACAGGGACGATACCAGGGACTTCAGTGATGGTTTTCTCACATACTTTTGGGAAGGTTATAAAGTGTGCAAACAAGACATTTTCTGAATTGTTATAACTGTTCTAAAAATACTCAATTTCAGTAAAATGTTTCTTCATTTGAGCATTTTATGACACCGTGAAACAAAATTCTCCAAAGGGGAAAAGAAAAATGATATTGTTTTAAAAAGATATAAGAAATGTCTGTCTCTGATGAGAAAATAAAGCAAGAGTTCTTGAAACTAGACTAAATGGTTTTATCCCATTTTGTTTAACACAGCCACAATGAAAGAAGATAAAAAACCACTCAATGGAATTCAACATTTATAACCTTATATTCATCATTTGTTGATTGTCTGAAGACTTTTTTTGAGCCATACTAAATAATAACCTTCTGTGCGTAACAGAACGCGCTGTAGCCACTTACATGAGCAACAAATGAAGAACAAAAGAGAGGTACAACATATATATATATATATATATATGTATGTATGTATTTATCATTGACTGGTTTGGACGGCACATGTTGTTGAAGTCATGGCTCCGGATTGTAGCCGTGGGCTACTTTGTATCTCATGTCACACATTCGCGAGTCGACAGCTTTGTAAAGTAATCCGAGATAACTAATGTTGTGATTTAGTCGCTGTGACAGTGGTCGACCCACACTCGTTGTACTCGTGGTACACGTGTGCCCCTCAGTCCCACAGCGCCCCCAGTGGTGACCAAGAGCATGTCCTTGTAACAGACACATATTACAGTATAAATTCCACTGTTACAGAAACTTCTTCTTTTGTTCAGTTTCATTGGCTCTCATTTATGAAACTTGCGTACGGCCAAATCAGGGTGTAAATGAGGCGTACCCAAAATATTTACACATTTTGGAATTCATCAACCTGGAAGTGAGCGTGCGGTACGCACAGACTATACGCCAAGTCTGGAGGTGGTATATCTTACACCCATCTCAACCTTCTTCTCAACACGCAAATAACATGCATGGAATTCAAGATTTGGGAAACAATAAACATGTTCCCACTCTGGCAGGATTATAGGCACACCTCTCACATTACAGATTTGGAATTTTAAGAAGTATGTTAGAGCTAGTTTGTGTAATTAAATAACGTGCAAGATTTCAAACTCTAAAGTCTCCCATAAATGTGTGGCTCGTTACATGCACCTATAATCAGTGCAACAGGATTTGGTTCATGCGGGTCCCAGCAAAGACCCACGCCACCGTGGAGGCTGCGTGGGTCTGATCAGAGGAAGATGGCTCTGGGACATGCAGGGGCTAGCTCTGGTACCTCCTGGTACAAGTGTGCCACATGGTCCTGGCTCGGTTCTCCACAACAGGCACAGGACCACGGTGCGCACGGGTGAGAGACAATGGCAGTGGCGGACCCTCAAGGCCTTCTCTGCGGCCAGAACATTATCATATGTTTGTATATATTTTAAATATGTATAATAATTATTATTATTACTATACTTTTTCTGTTTACAGTTTTTCTCAATCGCTTCCATTTCTCAGACTTAAACTTCTCAAAACTATGAATTCAACCTTCACAACATTGAGTCATGTGTGACATCATCGCAGCAGTTTCTCCTTTGAACAGATTACAAATGCTTTTGGACATGTATCAGTTACTTTCATACAATTCTCTGTGTTTTAGAACATTATCATTTACTTCTGTCCTGTCAGTCAAAATGAAACATACTTATGACTGCTGAATAGTCATTCCCTTAAAACTAATAGTCCTCATTTCATGGCTTTAGTGTCACACACAAAACTGTTGAACTAGTTCAAAATAAATCTTTCCTAAATTGAACAATGTCTCTGAGGTGAGTTTCAGCTTCACTCATGACGAGGTGTGTGTTTTATTGTTTACATTTGTCACAGTTTTACCATCATCATATTCTGTATGTTTGTATTTACATGTATTTACATATATATATATATATATATATATATATATATATATATAGTCCTACCAATGGCTAGAAAGGGCTGGCCTACAGGACAGCACAGAGGCACTCATCATGGCTGCACAGGAACAGGCACTGAGCACCAGAGCGATAGAGGCCCAGATATACCACACCAGACAAGACCCAAGGTGTCGGTTGTGCAAAGAGGCACCTGAGACGATCCAACACATAACTGCAGGGTGCAAGATGCTGGCAGGGAAGGCCTACATGGAACGCCATAACCAAGTGGCTGGCATAGTGTACAGAAACATCTGTGGAGAGTATGGGCTGGAAACCCCAAGGTCTAAGTGGGAAACTCCTCCAAAGGTGGTGGAGAATGAGCGTGCGAAGATCCTGTGGGACTTCCAGATACAGACCGACCGAATGGTAATGGCAAACCAACCTGACATCGTGGTGGTAGACAAAGGGCAGAGGACAGCCGTGGTGGTGGACGTGGCAATTCCAAGCGATGGTAACATCCGGAAAAAAGAACATGAAAAGCTTGAGAAATACCAAGGTCTCAGAGAGGAGCTGGAGAGGGCCTGGAGGGTAAAGGTGACAGTAGTGCCCGTGGTGATCGGTGCACTCGGGACAGTGACCCCGAAGCTAGAAGAGTGGTTACAGCGGATCCCCGGAACAACCTCGGACATCTCGGTCCAGAAATGTGCAGTGCTAGGAACAGCAAAGATACTGCGCAGAACCCTCAAGCTCCCTGGCCTCTGGTAGAGGACCCGAGCTTAGAGAGGGATAACCGCCCGCGGAGGGCCAAAGGTGAGTGGACAAAAAATATATATGTATATGTATATATATATATATATATATGTATATGTCGTGTATAATGTGCTCAGAGTCGTGCTCAAGTGTCTCAGAGATCTGACTTTTTAAAACTGAAAACACAAAGAGAGTAAACTTTCACAATGAAAACATGACTAAGTCATGTGACTGTTGTTCATACTCAATGTTGTCAGGACTTATTATTTTGACAACACAGTTTCATTGACATGAAGACTTGCTTTTGAGGAATTAACTTTTCATTTTGTGAAGGTGACGCACTTTTGCAGGTTTTCCACAAGGTTTTACAGTTTGTACTAATTGTTCTGAGAACAAACTGTTGTGCAAATGTGAAGAGTGATGTGAGAAATGCACCAAAGCCACTGAGAAAACTGTATTATTCCACAAACTATGTTGGTTGTAGCCTGGTCGTACCACACCATAGTAAAAATTACATGTCGTACTAAGGTCTGGAGATGCTCCATTGACTCTGTTAACAGGTGGGAGGGGCTAACTCCTTTTGCAGATTAAAACCACTGGATCTGAGTTTACGTCACGTATGTAAAGCCTAGCGTACATCGTCAGAGTAACCGGAGACATCTAGTTTCAAGGCGGCTTTGGCAACTGAGAGGAGATGATGGAGATGATCAGTTGAAATCGGTCGATGTGAGCGCTCTTACAACTGGAGATAAACTGTCGATCTCCAGATTCAGTCAGTTTCCCGTGCTCTACTTTTCTGCAACTAGTTGTCCTCAGATCCGGAGATATGACCCGATGTGTGCGCTCCAACAACATGTGTGTATTGCGTGTATTGCGCCCTCTACAGTTTATGTCAGAAAACACACTGTAGTTGAGGCCAGTTGCTGTTATTCCCCAGACTGGCCTGATACTGGAGTTGCTCATTTTCGCCAGATTGTCGATGTGTGCGGGGCAGCAACTCATAGGCAACGGATATAATCAGTTGCCAGTCCGATGTACGCTGGGCATAAAGCATTCAGCATTTAGCTTAGCTTTAGCATTTAGCCTAGCCATCACCTTTGCCGCTAACGAAGCCCGTGGGGAGTAGCGCCACGATCTTTGCCAGCGATTACATTTGCTAAACAATCCTCTTGCTGCGGTTTCATTTTTTGATAGAACCAGACCGGAATACTTTACTATCACATTTGTATTTGTATTTATTTTGATCTCCATTAACTGTTCAACACAGATATTCTTCTTGCGTGCGTGTCTTTTTAAAGAAAAAGCAAATATCAAGAGAAAAAGTTAAATGAAAAGACACTTGCATATATCCAGTATGAACTTACCACATATACATAGTTCCCACAGACCAATGAATGTCACATGACCTCCTCGGAGACGCCATCTTTGATGGCACGCTGCTGTGTTTGTGCATTCCATTAAACAGAAGAATGAGAATAAATGTAGATATTCAAACGCAAATTGGAAAAAAAGGGCAACTTTTGAGCAAATAATTGTATATTAATACAATGGCACCACAGTTTAACGTGCTACGGACATGTTTTACATATTTGATCAAATTATGCAGCAAAAATTAACAAGCAATGCAAACATTTCTCAAAAACTTTAGATTTAATACCAGTTGGAGCTCCATTTAATTATTTTTATTATATTAACAATTAATTTAATTAATGCTAATGCCACACGGACACTCTGGATTGCTGTTATTGTTTATTTCCGCGTTTTTGACCGTATGTTTTGGTGAATGGTGGGCAACTGATTTTTCCAGGCGTAAAGAGCAGTTTATTTTATGACACAGATCTTTTTACAGAAGCAATGCTGTTTGTGAACATTGTTTTAGCCCACCATAGAACTATTATTATCTATTTAATACATTTACGTTGCCCTCGAGAGCCTCGGACGCGACACCGATCCTCCTCATAATAAAGTAATCTAACGCTAAATAATGAAACTCTCAAGTTACCAGATATCAGCATACACAAGTTAGTACTGAGTAAATTACGTCTGTCAACACATTATAAGATACGATACGCACCTGACACAAAGTGCTCCGAGCATATTCTTGCGTGTTTTGAGGGAGTTTCTTGCCTGTTTATCTTCGCAAGCCATAACCTCCGTCGTTGTTCTGACAAAAGCTTAGTCTTCTCACATTCATGAAGTCTAATGATGGGTATACTGTAAAATCCAAGTTTAACGGAACCTCCGGCACGATTTGAACATCCATTGACCCAGCAGGAGATGACCATTTTCAACTTTATCACGACATTAACACGTTTCAGCTTCTTTTTCTATTGTTTTGCCCACAGAATGCCAACACAAATGGCGCCGGGTCGGCAAATCCCCGTATGTAGTGACGTCATGTGGGAACTATGTATTCTTTAACGAGGTTGGCTGGGTCTTCATTTAGACACAGCAAGAGCCTTCAGGGCATCTCCAGGTGTCAATGGAGTCTCTCTGAACAGGGGAAAATAGTTTATGCAGATTCAATATATTTTATGACAATGTAATTTCATCATAAAATAAGAAACCAACTAAAATAATAATTACAACTTTTATAAATACATCCCTCTATTTTAGACATAGCATTTTCTGAGACAGAGCTTGTACAGCTGAACCTAAGCCACAGAAATATTATAATTAATACTAATTATTATTATTGTAAACAAACAGATTAATTTGCACTAAAATGTCAAACACTATAACAATGTAGAGCACTATAACAAAAATATTTATGCAGTTTATAAAATAAAAAGTTGATTTGGTGTTTAGTTCAAAATTACAAACCTCTGCAAATCCTTCCATGATTTCTGTGATTTTGTGGCAAAGTTTTCCTCCTTTCTCCCTGTAGATTTGGATTTAGTGGCGCACTCATCCAACTGGGACATAAACTTTGACGTCAAGAATGTTGACGTTTGAATTCTGCATTTATCTATAATATAAAACAAAACCTTATATTACGTATGTTTTTTAAGAACAACCTTTAAACATGCAATGCACTGTCTCATTACTCTTCAGACGAGTGTGAAAAACACTCGT